CCCTGCCCTGCCCTGCCCTGCCCTGCCCTGCCCTGCCCTGCCCTGCCCTGCCCTGCCCTGCCCTGCCCTGCCCTGCCCTGCCCTGCCCTGCCCTGCCCTGCCCTGCCCTGCCCTGCCCTGCCCTGCCCTGCCCTGCCCTGCCCTGCCCTGCCCTGCCCTGCCTGCCCTGCCCTGCCCTGCCTTCACAGCCCTCCTCGGCTCCCTCACGCCCGGGCTCTCTCCGCTCCTCCCGTACATGGGGGGGGATGTTGCGCCCCGGCCTGTGTCCCACCCGCACCGCATCTCACCCGCGCAGGTGCTTCAGTTGGCCCTCAGGCAGTGCGCATCGCCGCCACCGCCACCGCCACTGCTGCCACTAACGACCACTTCGCCCACGGCGCTGCGGCCAACTGCCGCTGCCGCCGCCGCCGCCACCGCCGCCACGGAGACGGACGGTGCAGTCCCCGACACGCCGCCGGCAGCTCCCCCCTCACCCTCACCCTCACCCTCGGTCGCCCCTGCAGCCGCCGCCAGCCATGGCGATGGTTTGAGAAGTGGTTTCCCCTTGAACCCCTTTAAGAGGCATGGTCCCGAGGTTCCGGAGCTGCACAGCCCGCTGCCCCGGGTTCCGGAGCACGGACCTGGCGCCGCGCTGAAGCAGCAAACGAAGTCTCAACAGCCGCCGCCGCCGCCGCCACATTTGCAGTCGCTGTTGCAGCGCAAGTTGCTAAACGAGCAATCTGGACAGCACAACCAGACCCAGACCCAGACCCAGACCAAGCTCCGCGTGGACCTGGAGGGGGTGTACTTGGTGACGTCACCGAGGCTGTCGCAGCGGCTGGCGCTGGTGCCACCTCTGAGGTTTCCCGCGGATCAGCCGCCTGTGCAGGACGTGTACCGCGCACCGTTGGGCCACGTGTCGTACGTTGTCGTACGGGTTCCGGCGGCGGCGTCGCTAGTGCGATGGGACAGTCGGGTCGCGGCGGCGTCGTTTCAGTTATTTGTACGTACGGCGATTTCGGAGCTGCGCCGTACTCCGGGCTCGTACCTGGTAGGTTGATGACCTGTTTGGTCGTCGGTGCCTTGTTCGACGGGCTGTACGGCAACGGGTTTGCGCGGGACAGACATGTCTTGGGGTAAGGTAGGAAAGGCCACTTAGTTTGATTAGGAGCGCGTGTATCGATTCTTTCATTTTCAATTAGTTTATTGCGCAATGAGCCTATCTACCCACCTGCGAGAGTGTGTCAGAAAGGGACATGGGGAGGTGTGTATGTGGTCTCCCAGGGCCTTGTGCCGCGGAGCTGGTCGCCATGGTGCGTTAGTCGTGTCGTACCGCATTCGTACGCACTGCGGGTAGGTTTCGATGTGGGGAAGGAGGGGAAAGCGGTAAAGGGAGGGTCACGTGCCAAAACACACAAACCCCGCTGAACATCCTCGTCCCCATCCCCTGAGTACGGTACGACATGCCACATCACTATACACCTCGTACGGCACACACACACACAGGTGTCCGCGAGCCCCGCGGAGGTCCGCGCGACCTTCTCCTCTCCCGCACTCGCCGCGACGTGGGCTCTGAAACTGCGAGCCGCTTTGCTGCGGGCCCCGTGGCCGGACGAGCTGCTGCTACATGAGATGGGAGAGCCGGTGGAGGCGTACGACAACGCGGATGGCGGCGGCGGCGGCGAAATCAGCGGGCCGCACTCGGAGGGCGGCACGCCGCGCATGCGCTGGACTTCCTTTGCTGCGTTCACGCGGGTCAACGGCTCCCGGGAGGGCAGTGTTCATCGCTGCGGCGGCGGCGGTAGCGGCAGCCGTGGCGGCAGCGTGTCCGGTACGACCGTGGTGGCGGAGTCGCCGCCGGTGCAGCTGCGACTGCGTGGCAGCGCCCATCGGCGTATGTCCGGCAGGTGGGCGCGCGGCGGGGCCAGGACGGGGCTGGGGGCAGCGTGCGCAGTCGGGGTGGTGGGGGCTCACACGAATACAGAGTACACGCCGGTCCCTGAAGACCCTTCTGGGGCTTTCCACCCTCCCACACTCACCCCCACCCCCACCCCCACCCCCGCCTGGTAGTACCAGCTGTCCGTGTCTTAGGGGGGTTGGGGGGGGAGGTAAAGAGGAGTGACGTCTCTACACAGTACGGCACAGCAGACGTGCTTCACGGAATGGCGGTTTACTGGTTCCGAGAGCCATCGGATGCTCCACATGATGTCGTACATCCTCCATGTGGTATTACATTGTACGATTAACTGCCCACACGCTGTCGGCGCACATACACACATACACACATACACACATACGTACAGGCCCAGCGACACCCGGGCGGCTTCGCGGGCCGAGCTGTTCTCCACGGGGAGCGAGATGGAGGAGCCCGCGGGACCTGACTCCGAGTGCGGAGGTGCGGGTGGGGGCCCCTCTTTCCGGAGGGCTCCTGTGCGCTGGGTGTGTGTGTATGTATGTATGTATGTATGTGTGGGGGGTGTGGCCATCAGCACCTCAGTGGAGCTGGGTGAGGAGGTGGCTCCTGAGCTCTCTTGCTCGGTTTAGACGAAATGTGGGTTGGCCGTTAGCCGTTGACCGTGAGCCGTTGGTTGTTAGCCGTTAGCCGTTGGCTGTTGGCTGCCGCCAGGGGCCTCCATTAGCGATCCGTGTTCCACCGGGGGAAAATGAATAGAGGAGGGGGCGAAACACACACGGGGTTCGGGGGCACACACGTATTATGTCGCGCGGGTGCGCGTGTGTGTGCGTGCGTGTGTGTATCTTGTTCCTGACACAGATCAGGAACTGGTAAATGTGCTGCTACTGCTACTGCTACTGCTACTGCTGCTGCTACTGCTGCTGCTGCTACTGCTGCTGCTACTGCTGCTGCTGCTACTGCTGCTGCTACTACTGCTGCTGCTACTGCTGCTGCTACTGCCTCTACTGCCTCAGGTCCCCTGGAGCCCCTGGCCCGCACCGGGGCCTCCCCGCCGCTGCGGCGCCATCACCGCTCCCTCGACTGTTACAGCATGTCCCCCGGATCGCTGCCGTACCACCCCGCGGCGGCCGCTCTCCGTACATCCGCTGCCGCCAGCATCCGTACTGCCGCCACCGCCGTCCGAGTTGGTGGCGGCGATGTCAGTGACCTGTCGGCTGCGGGCGGGATGTCCGGTCACACAGCAGCGCCGCTGCTGGCAGCAGCAGCTACAGCCGCAGGAGGTGCAGCTAAAGCCACAGGCCATATCATGGGTGTTGAAGCACAGGCAGTCACTGGTAACAGCAGGAGTAGCAGGAGTAGTGGCAGTAGCCGCAGTGTGGACCGCCAGACCCGGGCGTTGGCTTTGCTGGCGGAGCACCTCCTCCGAACTACAGGGACGGCGGCTGATGTCGCGGAAGTGGGCGAGTGCGAATCGGCGGACAGCGGTAACGAGGGCGGCGGCGGGGGCGGCGGCGGCGGCTGTAGCGCCCCAGGCTGTCACCTTCCCAACGGCCCTGGTGGCTCACCGGGCGAACTGTCGGCCCTGGGAGGGAGGGGGCAGAGCCCGATGGGCCTGTGTGCTGTACGGCGAGCCACCGTCGACGGCGCCGTATCGTTGTCGCCGGCGCCGCCGTCACTGCCGTCATCAGCCCCGGCCCAGCGGCAGCCGTCGCAGGTGCAACCCCTGCTGCTGCTGTTGCATCATCAGCGGAGTCGGATGGCGGCTACAGCGCCGGTTCCTGTCCAGCCACGTGGGCCCCATGGCCATTACCCGCACCGAGAGCACAACCGACACCCTTTGCATCATCATCAACAGAATCGCCAGAGGGGCCAGCACCTGCAACACCTGCAGCACTTGCTGCAGCAGCAGCACCTGCAGCAGCAGCACCTGCAGCAGCAGCAGCAGCAGCATACACAATCGCAGTCACAGGAGCAGGAGGGGAGTGAGTTCGGGGAGGCTGTCGTGGCGGTGGCGTCATCCGGGCCCTCCGACCTCCCCGACGAAGGCCAGCAGATCTCCAGCCCATCCGGAGCCGCCAACACCAAACCCGCCGGCTTCTGTGAAGTTGAATCGGCGCCGTCATGCGTGGCGATCTGGCCGTTGTCGTACCTGTACGGAGGTAACAGACGGAAGGCAGTTTCCGACATGGGCGGCAAGGCGCCTGTTTGCATTTCCGGAGCCGGACTCGAACCGGGGTTCAGTCGGGAATCTGTCGGTGTCGATTTGCCCGCAGCAGCCGCCCCGAGTGGCAGGTGGGGCACTGCGGGGCACTTGGCGGCCTCCGCCGCCGCCGCCGCTGCTACAGCCGCCATCACCGCCGCTGCTACTGCCGCGCCCCCGCGCGCCCCGGTGCTTGCAGCGCTCTCTTCGGAGTTCGGTTCGCGGGGGCGAGGAGGCCACCCGGACGCCGGGGGACTTGGTGCGGCCGCCAGTGCTACAGCCACCGGGGCGGCAGCTGGCGGGGCTGTATCACCCCCCCCGTCGCGGCAGCAGGCGGCCGGGGAGGGCAGGGGGACGGGGAGGCTGATCTTCCGGGGGCTGAGGTGCGGCGGGGGGGCGCTGTCCAGGACACACTGCGGCGGGGGGCAACCCAATTTCTCTCCCCCGGGGGGGTCTACTCTTTCTGTATGTCCATTTGTCTGTCTGTTTGTGTGTGTGTATGTGTGTATTTACCTTTTCCGAGGGTGTGCACATGGCCCTGGGGCCCCAGCTGCCCGCGAGCCCATGGGCGCCTTCTGCCGGGTGTTGCCGCTACTTCACCTCCCCCTCTCCCTTCCCCAAACCCCCCTTTACCCCTCTCCCCCTCCCAACCCTACCATTGCCTAATCAGGATCCATGTGGGGGTTTCCACGGGCACCCTAGACCGGCTGTCAATCAG